TTTATTTGAGTAGTTTTCCTCTTTTTTGACAGTTGAACAGTAATCAGTTATAGAAGTTTAGGACTGCTCTTTCCTAGGAAATTTTTTCTGCTATGCATCGGCCGGGAATCGAACCCGGGTCTATAGGGTGCAGGCGACAATTCTACCACTGAACCACCGATGCTTGTTTTACACTGTTTTAATCGTTTGAATAAAGTTTTGCTCTTCAATCCAGTTTTTTCTTCAAAACTTCGAGTAAAATCATGAAAAATTTGTTTCATTCTAACTGAGGTTTTGAATTCAGCTGAATATTTCAGTAGTTTCCTCTTCTTTGACAGTGGAACAGTAAAAAGTTGCAGAAATTTAAGTTTGCGCTTTTCCGGCATAATTTTTCTGCTTTTCTGCTTTGCATCGGATGAGAATTGAAATCGGGTCTATCGCGTGGCGGGCGAAAATTCTACGACTGAACCACCGATGCTTGATGTAATCTGTTTTGATAGTTTGAACAAAGTTTTGCTCTTCAATCCAACTTTTTCATCAAAACTTTGAACAAAATCATGAAAACTTTGTTACAGTCTAATTGAGTTTTTAAACTCAGCTGAATATTTCGGTAGTTTCCTCATTTTTGACAGTGGAACAGTATAAAAAATTTAAAAATTTCAGGTTTGCGATTTTCCGGCAAAATTTTTTGCTTTGCTGCTGTGCATCGGCCGGGAATCGAACCCGCGTCTATCGCGTGGCAGGCGACAATTCTACCACTGAACCACCGATGCTTTATTTTAACTGCTATAATCGCTCCAGCAAAGTTTTGCTCTATCATCCAAGTTTTCAACAAAGCATTGAAACAAAATCATAAAAAAATTGTTTCATTTTAAATGAGGTTTCGAATTCAGCTAATTATTTTAAAAGTTTTCGTCTTTTTTGACAGTGGCACAGTAAAAAATTGAAAAAACGTAACATTGCGCTTTTCTAAAAAATTTTTTCTGCTTTTCTGCTTTGCATCGCTCGGGAATCGAACCATGGTCTATCGTGTGTGAAGCGTCAATGCTACAACTGAACCACCGATGCTTGATTTTTATCTGTTTTAACCGTTTGAACAAACACTTTGCTCTTCATTTCACTTTTTCACTAAATTTTTGAATCAAAACCATGAATGATTCATTTCATTTGATTTTTGAACTTCAGCTCTTTATTTGAGTAGCTTTCCTCTTTTTTGACAGTGGAACAGTAATAAATTACAAAAATTTAAGACCGCTCTTTCCTAGGAAATTTTTTCTGCTATGCATCGGCCGGGAAGCGAACATGCGTCTATCGCGTGGGAGGCGACAATTCTACCACTAAACCAGCGATGCTTGATTTACACTTTTTCAATCGTTTTAATAAAGTTTTGCTCTTCAATCCAGTTTTTTCTCCAAAACTTCGAACAAAATCATAAAAAATTTGTTTCATTATAATTGAGGTTTTGAATTCAGCTGAATATTCATTAGTTTCCTCTTTTTTGAAAGTGGAACTGTGAAAAGTTGCAGAAATTTAAGTTTGTGCTTTTCCGGCATAAACTTTCTGCTTTACTGCTTTGCATCGGACGGGAATTAAAATCGGGTCTATCGCATGGCAGGCGACAATTCTACGACTGAACCACCGATGCTTGATGTAGTTGGTTTTGATAGTTTGAACAAAGTTTTGCTCTTCAATCCAACCTTTTCATCAAAACTTTGAGCAAAAACATAAAAATTTTGTTACAGTCTAATTGAGGTATTGAACTCAGCTGAATATTTCGGTAGTTTCCTCATTTTTGACAGTGGAACAGTAAAAAAAATGAAAAAAATTAGGTTTGCGCTTTTCCGGCAAAATTTTTTGCTTTGCTGCTTTGCATCGGCCGGGAATCGAGCTCGGGTCTATCGCGTGGCAGGCGACAATTCTACCACTGAACCACCGATGCTTGGTTTACACTATTTTAATCGTTGAATAAAGTTTTGCTCTTCAATCCAGTTTTTTCTTCGAAACTTCGAGTAAAATTATGAAAAATTTGTTTCATTCTAATTGAGGTTTTGAATTCAGCTGAATATTTCAGTAGTTTCGTCTTTTTTGACAGTGGAACAGTAAAAAGTTGCAAAATTTAAGTTTGCGCTTTTCCGGCATAATTTTTCTGCTTTTCTGCTTTGCATGGGATGAGAATTGAAATCGGGTCTATCGCATGGCAGGCGACATTTCTACGACTGAACCACCGATGCTTGATGTAATCTGTTTTGATAGTTTGAACAAAGTTTTGCTCTTCAATCCATATTTTTCATCAAAACTTCGAACAAAATTATAAAAACTTTGTTACAGTCTAATTGAGTTTTTGAACTCAGCTGAATATTTCGGTATTTTCCTCATTTTTGACAGTGGAACAGTAAAAAATTGAAAAAATTTAGGTTTGCGATTTTCCGGCAAAATGTTTTTCTTTGCTGCTGTGCATCGGCCGAGAATCGAACCCGCGTCTATCGCGTGGCAGATGACAATTCTACCACTGAACCACCGATGCTTTATTTTAACTGCTATAATCGCTCCAGCAAAGTTCTGCTCTATCATCCAAGTTTTCAACAAAGCGTTGAATCAAAATCATAAGAAATTTGTTTCATTTTAATTGAGGTTTCGAATTCAGCTAATTATTTTAGTAGTTTTCCTCTTTTTTGGCACAGTAAAAATTGAAAAAACGTAAAATTGCGCTTTTCTAGAAAAATTTTTCTGCTTTTCTGCTTTGCATCGCTCGGAAATCGAATCATGGTCTATCGTGTGAAAAGCGTCAATGCTACAACTGAACCACCGATGCTTGATTTTTATCTGTTTTAACATCGGTTTAAAAATTTTGCTCTTCATTTCAATTTTTCACTAAATTTTTGAATCAAAACCTTGAATGATTCATTTCATTTGATTTTTGAACTTCAGCTATTTATTTGAGTAGTTTTCCTCTTTTTTGACAGTGGAACAGTAATAAGTTACAAAGCTTTTTTCTGCTATGCATCGGCCGGGAATCGAACCCGGCTCTATTGCGTGGCAGGCGACAATTCTACCACTGAACCACCGATCCTTATTTTACACTATTTTAATCGTTTGATTAAAGTTTTGCTCTTCAATCCAGTTTTTTCTCCAAAACTTCGAACAAAATCATAAAAAATTTGTTTCGTTCTAATTGAGGTTTTGAATTCAGCTGAACATTTCGGTAGTTTCCTCATTTTTGACAGTGGAACAGTAAAAAATTGAAAAAATTTAGGTTTGCGATTTTCCGGCAAAATTTTTTGCTTTGCTGCTGTGCATCGGCCGTGAATCGAACCCGCGTCTATCGCGTGGCAGGCGACAATTCTACCACTGAACCACCGATGCTTTATTTAAACTGCTATAATCGCTCCAGCAAAGTTCTGCTCTATCATCCAAGTTTTCAACAAAGCGTTGAACCAAAATCATAAAAAATTTGTTTCATTTTAATTGAGGTTTCGAATTCAGCTAATTATTTTAGTAGTTTTCCCCTTTTTTGACAGTGGCACCGTAAAAAATTGAAAAAACGTAAAATTGCGCTTTTCTAGAAAATTTTTTCTACTTTTCTGCTTTGCATCGCTCGGGAATCGAACCATGGTCTATCGTGTGAAAAGCGTCAATGCTACAACTGAACCACCGATGCTTGATTTTTATCTGTTTTAACATCGGTTTGAAAATTTTGCTCTTCATTTCAACTTTTCACTAAATTTTTGAATCAAAACCATGAATGATTCATTTCATTTGATTTTTGAACTTCAGCTCTTTATTTGAGTAGTTTTCCTCTTTTTTGACAGTGGAACAGTAATAAGTTACAAAAGTTTAAGACCGCTCTTTCCTAGGAAATTTTTTCTGCTATGCATCGGCCGGGAAGCGAACATGCGTTAATCGCGTGGGAGGCGACAATTCTACCACTGAACCGGCGATGCTTGATTTACACTATTTTAATCGTTTGAATAAAGTTTTGCTCTTCAATCCAGTTTTTTCTCCAAAACTTCGAACAAAATCATAAAAAATTTGTTTCATTCTAATTGAGGTTTTGAATTCAGCTGAATAGTTCATTAGTTTCCTCTTTTTTGACAGTGGAAAAGTGAAAAGTTGCAGAAAATTAAATTTGTGCTTTTCCGGCATAAATTTTCTGCTTTACTGCTTTGCATCGGACGGGAATTGAAATCTGGTCTATCGCGTGGCAGGCGACAATTCTACGACTGAACCACCGATGCTTGATGTAGTTGGTTTTGATAGTTTGAACAAAGTTTTGCTCTTCAATCCAACCTTTTCATCAAAACTTTGAACAAAAACATGAAAACTTTGTTTCATTCTAATTGAGGTTTTGAATTCAGCTGAATTTTTCAGTATTTTTCCTCTTTTTGACAGTGGACAGTAAAAATTACAAAAGTTTAAACTTGGGCTTCTCTATTAAAACTCTGTGCACTGCATCGACCGGGACTCGAACACGAGTATATTGCTTGGCAGGCGGCAATCCTGCCACTGCACCACTGATGCTTGAATTATGTTGTTCACCGTTTGAACAAAAACATTGCCCTTCATGTCATATTTTTAACAATTTTTTGAATCAAAATCATGAAAGATTCAATTCATTTGAGTTTTAAAATGCAGCTATTTATTTGAGTAGTTTTCATCTTTCTTGACAGTGGAACAGTAATAAGTTACAAAAGTTTAAAACTGCTCTTTCCTAGGAAATTTTTTCTGCTATGCATCGGCCGGGAAGCGAACATGCGTCTATCGCGTGGGATGCGACACTCCTACCACTGAACCAGCGATGCTTGATTTACACTATTTTAATCGTTTCAACAAAGTTCTGCTCTTCAATCCAATTTTGTCATCAAAACTTTGAACAAAATCATGAAAGCTTTCTTTCAGTCTAATTGAGGTTTTGAACTCAGCTGAATATTTTGGTAGTTTCCTCTTTTTTGACAGTGGAACAGCAAAAAAAATGAAAAATTTAATTTTGCGCTTTTCCGGCAAAATTTTTTGCTTTGCTGCTTTGCATCGGCCGTGAATTGAACCCGGGCCTATCGCGTGGCAGGAGACAATTCTACCACTGAACCACCGCTGCTTGATTTTAACTGCTGTAATCGATCCAGCAAAGTTTTGCTCATCATCCAAGTTTTTCATTAAAGCGTTGAATCAAAATCATGAAAACTTGGTTTCAATTTAATTGAGGCTTCGAATTCAGCTAATTATTTGAGTAGGCTTCCTCTTTTTTGACAGTGGCACAAGATAAAATTGAAAAAACGTAAAATTGCGCTTTTCTAGAAACTTTTTTCTGCTTTTCTGCTTTGCATCACCCGGGAATCGAACCATGGTCTATTGCGTGGAAGGCGACAATGCTACAACTGAACCACCGATGCTTGATTTTAACTGCTATAATTGTTCCAGCAAAGTTTTGCTCTATCATCCAATTATTTTCATCAAAGCTTTGAATCAAAATCATGAAAACTTTGTTTCATTTTAACTGAAGTTTCGAATTCAGCTAATTATTTGGGTAATTTTTCCATTTTTTTGTTAGTGGAACAGTAAAAAATTACAAAAGTTTAAGTTTGCGCTTTTCTAGGAAAACAATCTGCGCGTGGAAGGCGACAATGCTACAACTGAACCACCGATGCTGGTTTTTAACTGCTATAATTGTTCCAGCAAAGTTTTGCTCTATCATCCAGTTATTTTCATCAAAGCTTTGAATCAAAATCATGAAAACTTTGTTTCATTTTAACTGAAGTTTCGAATTCAGCTAATTATTTGGGTAATTTTTCCCTTTTTTTGTTAGTGGAACAGTAAAAAGTTACAAAAGTTTAAGTTTGCGCTTTTCTAGGAAAAGAATCTGCGCGTGGAAGGCGTCAATGCTACAACTGAACCACCGATGCTTGATTTTTAACTGTTTTAATCGTTTTGAACTTCAGCTATTTATTTGAGTAGTTTTCTTATTTTTTGACAGTGGAACAGTAATAAGTTACAAAAGTTTAAGACTGCTCTTTCCTAGGAAATTTTTTCTGCTTTGCATCGCCCGGGAATCGAAGCCGGGTTTATCGCGTGGCAGGCGACAATTCTATTACTGAACCAGCGATGCTTGATGAACACTATTTTAATTGTTTGAACCAATTTTTGCTCTTCAATCCATTTTTTTTCATCAAAACTTTGAACAAAATCATGAAAAGTTTGTTTCAGTCTAATTGAGGTTTTGAACTCAGCTGAATATTTTGGTAGTTTCCTCTTTTTTGACAGTGGAACAGTAGAAAAATGAAAAAATTTAAGTTTTTGCTTTTTCGGCAAAATTTTTTGCTTTGCTGCTTTGCATCGGCCGTGAATCGAGCCCGGTTCTATCGCGTGGCAGGCGACAATGCTACAACTGAACCACCGATGCTTGATTTTAACTGCCATAATTGTTCCAGCAAAGTTTTGCTCTATCATCCAATTATTTTCATCAAAGCGTAGAATCAAAATCATGAAAACTTTGTTTCAATTTAATTGAGGTTTCGAATTCAGCTAATTATTTGAGTAGGCTTCCTCTTTTTTGACAGTGGCACAATAAAAAATTGAAAAAACGTAAAATTGCGCTTTTCTAGAAAAATTTTTCTGCTTTTCTGCTTTGCATCGCCCGGGAATCGAACCATGGTCTTTTGCGTGGAAGCCGACAATGCTTCAACTGAACGACCGATGCTGTTATTACATTATTTTAATCGTTTGAACAAAGTTTTGCTTTTCAATCCATTTTTTTCTTTGTAACTTCGAAAAAAAATCATGAAAAATTTGTTTCATTCTAATTGAAGTAGTTTCCTCTTTTTTGACAGTGGAACAGTAAAAAGTTGCAAAAATTTAGGTTTGTGCTTTTCCGGCAAAATTTGTCTGCTTTTCTGCTTTGCATCAGACGGGAATCGAAATTGCGTCTATCGCGTGGCAGGCGACAATGCTACAACTGAACCACCGATGCTGGTTTTTAACTGCTATAATTGTTCCAGCAAAGTTTTGCTCTATCATCCAGTTATTTTCATCAAAGCTTTGAATCAAAATCATGAAAACTTTGTTTCATTTTAACTGAAGTTTCGAATTCAGCTAATTATTTGGGTAATTTTTCCCTTTTTTTGTTAGTGGAACAGTAAAAAGTTACAAAAGTTTAAGTTTGCGCTTTTCTAGGAAAAGAATCTGCGCGTGGAAGGCGTCAATGCTACAACTGAACCACCGATGCTTGATTTTTAACTGTTTTAATCGTTTTGAACTTCAGCTATTTATTTGAGTAGTTTTCTTATTTTTTGACAGTGGAACAGTAATAAGTTACAAAAGTTTAAGACTGCTCTTTCCTAGGAAATTTTTTCTGCTTTGCATCGGCCGGGAATCGAAGCCGGGTTTATCGCGTGGCAGGCGACAATTCTATCACTGAACCAGCGATGCTTGATGAACACTATTTTAATTGTTTGAACCAATTTTTGCTCTTCAATCCATTTCTTTCATCAAAACTTTGAACAAAATCATGAAAAATTTGTTTCAGTCTAATTGAGGTTTTTTTAACTCAGCTGAATATTTTGGTAGTTTCCTCTTTTTTGACAGTGGAACAGTAGAAAAATGAAAAAATTTAAGTTTTTGCTTTTTCGGCAAATTTTTTTGCTTTGCTGCTTTGCATCGGCCGTGAATCGAGCCCGGTTCTATCGCGTGGCAGGCGACAATGCTACAACTGAACCACCGATGCTTGATTTTAACTGCCATAATTGTTCCAGCAAAGTTTTGCTCTATCATCCAATTATTTTCATCAAAGCGTAGAATCAAAATCATGAAAACTTTGTTTCAATTTAATTGAGGTTTCGAATTCAGCTAATTATTTGAGTAGGCTTCCTCTTTTTTGACAGTGGCACAATAAAAAATTGAAAAAACGTAAAATTGCGCTTTTCTAGAAAAATTTTTCTGCTTTTCTGCTTTGCATCGCCCGGGAATCGAACCATGGTCTTTTGCGTGGAAGCCGACAATGCTTCAACTGAACGACCGATGCTGTTATTACATTATTTTAATCGTTTGAACAAAGCTTTGCTTTTCAATCCATTTTTTTCTTTGTAACTTCGAAAAAAAATCATGAAAAATGTGTTTCATTCTAATTGAAGTAGTTTCCTCTTTTTTGACAGTGGAACAGTAAAAAGTTGCAAAAATTTAGGTTTGTGCTTTTCCGGCAAAATTTGTCTGCTTTTCTGCTTTGCATCAGACGGGAATCGAAATTGCGTCTATCGCGTGGCAGGCGACAATGCTACAACTGAACCACCGATGCTGGTTTTTAACTGCTATAATTGTTCCAGCAAAGTTTTGCTCTATCATCCAGTTATTTTCATCAAAGCTTTGAATCAAAATCATGAAAACTTTGTTTCATTTTAACTGAAGTTTCGAATTCAGCTAATTATTTGGGTAATTTTTCCCTTTTTTTGTTAGTGGAACAGTAAAAAGTTACAAAAGTTTAAGTTTGCGCTTTTCTAGGAAAAGAATCTGCGCGTGGAAGGCGTCAATGCTACAACTGAACCACCGATGCTTGATTTTTAACTGTTTTAATCGTTTTGAACTTCAGCTATTTATTTGAGTAGTTTTCTTATTTTTTGACAGTGGAACAGTAATAAGTTACAAAAGTTTAAGACTGCTCTTTCCTAGGAAATTTTTTCTGCTTTGCATCGGCCGGGAATCGAAGCCGGGTTTATCGCGTGGCAGGCGACAATTCTATCACTGAACCAGCGATGCTTGATGAACACTATTTTAATTGTTTGAACCAATTTTTGCTCTTCAATCCATTTCTTTCATCAAAACTTTGAACAAAATCATGAAAAATTTGTTTCAGTCTAATTGAGGTTTTTTTAACTCAGCTGAATATTTTGGTAGTTTCCTCTTTTTTGACAGTGGAACAGTAGAAAAATGAAAAAATTTAAGTTTTTGCTTTTTCGGCAAATTTTTTTGCTTTGCTGCTTTGCATCGGCCGTGAATCGAGCCCGGTTCTATCGCGTGGCAGGCGACAATGCTACAACTGAACCACCGATGCTTGATTTTAACTGCCATAATTGTTCCAGCAAAGTTTTGCTCTATCATCCAATTATTTTCATCAAAGCGTAGAATCAAAATCATGAAAACTTTGTTTCAATTTAATTGAGGTTTCGAATTCAGCTAATTATTTGAGTAGGCTTCCTCTTTTTTGACAGTGGCACAATAAAAAATTGAAAAAACGTAAAATTGCGCTTTTCTAGAAAAATTTTTCTGCTTTTCTGCTTTGCATCGCCCGGGAATCGAACCATGGTCTTTTGCGTGGAAGCCGACAATGCTTCAACTGAACGACCGATGCTGTTATTACATTATTTTAATCGTTTGAACAAAGTTTTGCTTTTCAATCCATTTTTTTCTTTGTAACTTCGAAAAAAAATCATGAAAAATTTGTTTCATTCTAATTGAAGTAGTTTCCTCTTTTTTGACAGTGGAACAGTAAAAAGTTGCAAAAATTTAGGTTTGTGCTTTTCCGGCAAAATTTGTCTGCTTTTCTGCTTTGCATCAGACGGGAATCGAAATTGCGTCTATCGCGTGGCAGGCGACAATGCTACAACTGAACCACCGATGCTGGTTTTTAACTGCTATAATTGTTCCAGCAAAGTTTTGCTCTATCATCCAGTTATTTTCATCAAAGCTTTGAATCAAAATCATGAAAACTTTGTTTCATTTTAACTGAAGTTTCGAATTCAGCTAATTATTTGGGTAATTTTTCCCTTTTTTTGTTAGTGGAACAGTAAAAAGTTACAAAAGTTTAAGTTTGCGCTTTTCTAGGAAAAGAATCTGCGCGTGGAAGGCGTCAATGCTACAACTGAACCACCGATGCTTGATTTTTAACTGTTTTAATCGTTTTGAACTTCAGCTATTTATTTGAGTAGTTTTCTTATTTTTTGACAGTGGAACAGTAATAAGTTACAAAAGTTTAAGACTGCTCTTTCCTAGGAAATTTTTTCTGCTTTGCATCGGCCGGGAATCGAAGCCGGGTTTATCGCGTGGCAGGCGACAATTCTATCACTGAACCAGCGATGCTTGATGAACACTATTTTAATTGTTTGAACCAAT